AGAATGTTTTAAGGAAAATTAAGTGAATAAGTAACTCACTCTGTAGTTCACAAATAAATCTAAATAATTATGTTACTTTTAAGTATTGTCTACACAGACTTAGGAGAATGATGAATGAAAGGGAAAAGTCTGACAACAAAAAATGACTGGGTGATTGATCAACTCACAGGTTGGAATTATTCCGACCTGAAAAGTTACAGGATTAGTCGACTTTTGGTCTTAGGAGGTTTGCCTTGAATGGCTTGGCTCATGCCAGTGATTAGTAATCATTCCTTAGTAATTACATTTTTTACTCCAATGCTGTAGCGCTTGTTGAGAAATCAATCTTGTATAATACAGAGCATCACGTCATGTCTGCATCTTTTAACAACTTAAAATCCTTTAAGTATGTGTTAGTCTCTTGGTACAGATATATGACTACATTTATGGATGTTAAAGCTTTGAAAGTGGCCAATAAGTAAGTGTATATTGTACAAGTGAAGATCGCATTCTCAGCAGATCTACAAACCACAAGCGTCATGTTGCATGGACTTAGAAAGACCCCTACAAATTCTCAAACTGAAGGCCAAAAAACCATAATGGAAGTTAACTTGATATTTTGACCTTAGTTTTGGGTCTGGTTTCTGCTTCTTCCAGTCAGCAAGATCTGATACAGTCGCTTTGCCCTCTTCCCCAAACACACACCGGTGACTACTGGCTACTACATTCCAAGTGAGTGTGCGGTTTCAGTCTGAATAAAACAGCTCCCGATTACACACCTGTTATCATCTGCTGTGCATCATAGGGCTCCATGTAACCGTCGTTTTCTCCTACTCTCTCTGCATCCCTTTGACCTTTTGTCCGTTTAGCATCGTAAGGATCAGCATAGTCTTCTAAAATGATGACCTGTGAAAGAACCAAAGAGGGGAGCGGCTAAGGTTTATCATATACTAGAGTGACAGCTGTATCAAAATGTCTACTAAAACTCCACAGACCCGAAAAGAGGTCAAAATTTCCAACCAGTTCCCAAGAGCTTTTGCATTTGAGCATGTTATTATTTACCCAGTTGGACAAACATCTGGTTGATTTTGGTAGTATAATTGATTGGCAACAGTCCATCTGAACTCATCTGTTTATCCCCAAGTTTCTTTTCAACTCCCTCTCTCTCCCCAAGCAATAAAGCATTTACTGGTTAAAATGTGGCAGGGGTGGATGGTGGGGGTTGGATGGGGAGAGAGGAGGATGTCTATAGCTTGAGAGCATTAAAAAAATGAACTGGTCTACCACCTTTCCCATGATTTTGTTTGGTTTTGTTTTGTTTAAAATGCCAATCATTGAGCAATATAGCCATGGTAAGCCAGCCCATCACCTGGTGGTACTTAACATCCGCCAGCACTGGCTAGGCACTGAGAGGGAATCAAAATAAGACCAAGATATGCTTCTTGTCCTCGAGGAATCTGTAACAATTCTACAGAGACAGGCTTCATAATAAGAAGCCTTAGAAATAGGTCAGAACTAAATAGTATTGTGGGATTTTTAGGTTCAGTAATTCATAGGCAGACTGATTCTCAGAGCCTATGATCAGACAGAGTTTTGATCTATATTTGTGTCAGAAAGCATCTGTCCCTCCAAAAATAAAAGAGTGCCTGGGAAGGTGGTGTGAGTGCAACAGTTCTGTTCTGCAGCGGCTGGGGGACCATGTGCGAGGTCAGGGAGCCGGAGCCTGACAGGCACTTCTCAGGGAGGAAGAATTTTATGGGGATTTTACAAGGAAAAAAAGTACATTCATTTTTGTTTTGTTTCTTTTGGGGGGGGAGGTAATTAGGTTTATTTATTTACTTATTTATTTTAATGGAGGTACTAGGGATTGAACCTGGGACCTTGTGCATGCTAAGCATGTGCTCTGCCATTGAGCTATACCCTCTTCCAAAAAGAAATATTCATTTTTAAAAAGCACAGCACTTTCCCCATTACCAGTATGGCTCCACAAATAAACAGGTGAGATAGTATAAACTACTTATTCTGGTTAAAGAAAGGAATAAAAACCAAAGGTAAAAAAAAATAAGAGAAAACAAACTTAAGGTTACCAAAGGGGAAAGCAGGTAGGGGAGAAGGGAGTTAGGGATTAGCAGATATACACGACTCTATATAAAACAGATAAACAAGATCCTACTGTGCAGAACAGGGAACTATATTTGATGTCTTGTAATAAAATATAATGGAAAAGAATCTGAAAAAAGAATATATGTATGTATAACTGAATCACTGCTGTACACCAGAAACTAACACAACATAGTAAATCAATTATACTTCAATTAAAAAAAAACCCCAAAGGTGAATACAATGAAGGGAGGAAGCCCCAGGTCTTGCTATAATCTGATTACATTCTCCAAAGAGTTCATGGAGCTGGCAAAAAAATCCAGATAAACAGGGAGAAGTGAGGAGGAGGGGACAGCCTGGATGAGAATCCTCTGCCTGGGAGTAGATGGTCTGAGAAACCTCAGACATCCAGAAGCGAGGACCATGAAGATAACGCGGCAATCACTGCAGAGGGCTGTGATCACCCCTCACTCCAGTCTTCTTGCCGTGCATGTATACTGCACCCCCAGGGTACAGCGAGGAAGACGAAGCATGACACTCGTGCTCTGCTGCAAGATGCTTACGATCTAGTCAAACAGAGACCACTGACTAATATCTAGACAATCTGGCCATCTTTCCACGGCTTCCCCCTACCCAGTGCCTGGCACGGGGTAGGCAAGCTGCAAACATCTGTGGGAAGAATAAATGGGGGAATGAACCAAAGTGTTCAATGTAGACACATAGGGCATGTGCTACTGGCTCCTGACCGCATCCAGGTGGGCAGCATGTTTGAAGCCGGGACAAGGGAAAATCAAACTTCTCACAACAGGGGTGTGATCACCTGGGCTGGAGTCTGAATGCTCAGTTTGAGCTCTTCTCTCTTTTCACCCAGAAGAGTGGAATTAAAAACAAACAAAACCTCAACTCATCTTTGTAAGAATGGAGTGGGCCCGTTCACTCCTCTTAACTGTCTCACACTGGACAGCACCCAGAACACCTCCGGTGTGTGAGAAGCAGGAAGCACCTTCTCCCCTGATCTGTAATTTCCTTCAGGGCACTTCCTTGTCCTATTCTGTATCCTCCACAGCCCTGAGAGCCCTGTGTCCCTTATCCTATATGGCTACTGCACAGCAACTGTTCATGGGATGAATGAAAGGGCTGTAATCTTGGGGTGCTGGTAAAGTGCTGAGAAACCCTTTACTGGGTGGCACTGCAAAGAATGATGGAGCTTCCAAATTAGCGAGAAGTGGGGAGGTGGCCAACCCATTCCCTGGAGCTTTGGAACCCAGACTTTTCATACAACTCACAGGTATCATTCCTTATGCTTAAGAAGGAGAAAAGTTACACATAAGCCTAGCTTTGCAATTTCCCTGGGTTTCTAAATTAAAGCAAACCACATCCATAAGGGGGTCAAATTTAACAAAGCACCCCGTGTCTCATTCAATTACTCAATCTAAATTGATAATAAAATTTCATGGAAAGTACCTTTCTGCCAAGTGCACCATCGTTAGAATGAGGATTTTTCAAGTTTAATCTTGAAAACCTAATGATTTTAAATGGTCACTTAAAAGTCATCAAATGTTAGAGCGGGCAAATACACTCTCACCTTCTCTGAGGTATAAAGTTCCCTGGAGTTTAGCAGGTTCACGACGCTCCCTTCCCACTGCCCTGCCTCAGCAGGGGGAGGTGGTCCAGGGACGTCGCATTCTTACCGTGTCCTGCTGCTTGCTAATCCTGCCCTTGTCCAGTTCGGGGCCCAGGGAGGAAGGGGAAGAGGACGCGGAGGAAGAGCTGCTGGAGCTGCCGCTGCTGCTGCTGCTGGGGTAGCCGCTCTTCCCGTTCTTCTCCTGCGTGTCCACCTTGATGAGCCTGTTGATGTAGGTGCTGCAGCCTGAGCTCTTGGCGGCGCCCCGGTGGGGCTCGTCCTCGGTGGCCCGGGAGTTCTTGCGGCCCTTGCCCGCGGCGGCCTGAATCAGACCCTGCAGGCTGTCCCGGGACAACCTGCTGTCCTTGGGGGGGTCCGCACCGGCCCGGCCGGCTCCCCCAGCTCGGCCGCCGAGTTCTTGCGGCCCTTGCCC